TTACGCTGTATTAGAACCCATATTGCATAATTAATGTCTTTATGCTAATGGATTTAACAGTAGGGAAGTTTAAATAATCTTGCATACCGTTAATGGATAGATAGGATTTAATTGTTTAAACTGTGTCTAGCAATTTAACGGACTGTGGTATGATTTATAAACCTTACTTTTGATGCATAATAGGGTCATTTAATTATCAGACTTGATTTATGCTTACTTTGGATTCTAATTGCTGAGATATTAAATTATGTTCTGCAATTACGTGGATAAATGGCTTAGATTCTAATTGCTGAACTATTAAACTTTGTTTTGTCAATTACATGGATTACTATTGTGGATTTTAATTGCTGAACTACTATGTTATGTTCTATAATTACATGGATGTTATGGATTGTATGCACCGGTATGGGACGGTGGCATACTAGGGATGAATTAGCTCGAAACGCTAATTCCTACCTCTTCTGGATTTTAATTGTTGAACTGCTTTACCTGTTCTATCAATTATATGAATTTTGTGAATTATATGCACCGGTATGGGACGGTGGCATATTAGGTTTGGATTAGATCAAAACGTTAACTCCTATATATTCTGGATTTAGGAATTGGATTTACTTATAACATTTAAATCCTAATTAAATGTCATGTCTTGACAACGAACGGTTGAGCAGCACTTCATTGGTTTTGGATGGAATTTATATATATATTTATGGTACCACGATATGAGCTTGAGTCTTAGGATCGTTGGTTAGGGAGTGTATATGCATTGGGATGCATAGCTGGCTCTGATGGTTGAGCTGTACCCTATTAGGTCTAGGTACTCATGCCCACCTTTGGGTGCGTTTTTGCATGTTGCCTTCTATTTAGGTTGAGACCCCCCATTGTAGTCCAGTGAGAGTCCTTTAGTGTGGATATATATATGTATGGACTAGATAGATATTGTTGATATATTTAAGATGTATCTGCTTATCGGGTCTCTGTTTGGATTGTAGTTAGAATAGAACTTGTTCGTGGGCCTGACCCACTATTATTTTTCAGGTATCGGATGGTTCCAATATTAGAGCTTGTTCGTGCTAAGCAGAGACGGTCACTCATTCTTCCGACTACGTAGAACTGTTATTCGTATTTAGTTTTAGATTTCCTTTTTAGTTTAGTTCATCTTCAGTTAGGTTTTGAATAAGAGTCCACTAGATGGATTCCCGAGTTGTATTTGTATTGGATGTACCAGAATAGTTCTTATATATATAATTTATTCTGAGGTTTTCATTATTAGATTATCATTTTAGTTTTCTTTCAGCAATTTTTATTTATTCCTATTCGTTATAATTGTATTCTGTGTTCGATTATTGCCATTTGTTTTAATATCCTCGGGTATTCGGGCGTGGGCCTGGCCAACCGACATCTGGAAATCTGGGGGTATCACAACAGTGAACTATGTTTGGCTGAGGAAATCTTCTCTAAACAGAAAGCTCAAATTCACTGGCTAAAAGTGGGTGATTGGAACACATCTTTCTTCATGAAATCTTTTTCCTCCAAGGCCAATAGAAGGAAGGTTGTTTCAGTGGAAGACTCATTGGGTAATACTGTCCAGGAACCCGATCTCAGAAATGAATTCCTAAATCACTTTCAGCATTTTCTTGGCCAGAGCTACATAAACTACCCAGGTATGTCATCTTACTCTAACTTGATTTCTAAGTCTGTCCTACCTCACCTCTTGCCTATGCTCACTGCCATTCCATCAGATTTAGAAATCCAAAAATGCATTCTCGATCTCCTTCAATCATTATAAAAGCCCTGGACCTGATGGCTTTAACTCTCATTTCTTTATTCATGCTTGGCCAATCATTGGTCAAGATATCATTGATGTAATTAAGGATTTCTTTTCATCAGGAAGAATGCTTTCTGAAATCAACTGCTCTTATATAGCCCTTTGTACCAAATATCCCAAATCCTTCCATAGTAAGTGACTTTAGGCCTATCTTTTGTTGCAACCTCATTTACAAATGCATTTCCAAGCTTCTTGCAAATAAGCTCAACCTTGTACTTCCATAAATTATCAACCCTACACAGAATGCATTTGTAAAGGACAGACATATCACTGATAACGTATTACTCGCTCATAAACTCCTAAATGGTTACCATAGATCCAACCATTCACCATGTTGTATAATGAAAATTGACCTTAGGAAGGCCTTTGATACACTACATTGGTAATTCATTCTTGATACACTTCACCTATTTGGTTTCCCTCCATAGTTTATATAATGGATTGCCCAATGTATCTCAACACCTTCTTACTCCATATCACTAAATGGAGAACTGTTTGGTTTTTTCAAGGGGAAAAGGGGGGTTAGGCAAAAGGACCCCATCTACCCTATGCTGTTTGTTTTTGTTATGGAGGTACTTTCCTTATCCCTTGGCAATGCAGTTTCAAACAACCCAAGTTTTAAGTTTCATTGGAGGTATAGTAAGCTTTCCATTACACAGCTTACCTTTGTTGATGACTTGCTACTTTTCTCATTTGGTAATCTTACATCTGTCAATGTGTTGCACAATGCATTAACCAGGTTCCTACAATGGTCTAGTCTCTTAATAATTGTTCAAAGAGCCATGTTTTCTTCTCTGGGGTAGATGACCAAACCAAAGCAACTATACTCAACCTCATGCAATTTGATGCTGGTGTCTTACCAATAACTTACCTTGGTTTACCTTTGACTTCATCTACAATTAGTGCAACTGATTGCCAATCCCTAGTTCAAAAGATTACAGCTAGAATTTGCACTTGGACTTCAAGAGTCCTATCATATGTAGGTAGAGCTGCACTGATCAAATCCATCCTTCACTCTATCTAAACTTATTGGTCTTAAACATTCATTTTACCTTTGAAAGTCATTGAACAAGTCAACCAAATCTTGAGGAGATTCTATTGGTCTGGATTTAAATTGAGGAAAAGTGGTGCTAAGGTTGCATGGGCTGCCATTTGTAGGCCTAAATACAATGGTGGTTTGGGTTTTGATTATATTGATTTAGCTAATAGAGTTGCACGTCTCAAGCATATTTGGAAATTATGTGCAAAGAAGAACTGTCTTTGGGTGGATTGGACTTACAAAAATCTCATTAAGAATAAGAGCTTTTGGACTGTTAAACCAACTTCACTCAATTCTGGGTTTTAGAGGAAATTACTAAAGCAAAGGGAAATGGCTAGAGGGGTAATCAGGCATAGGATTGGAACAGGTTTTGATACTATGATGTGGATCAATTTTTGGCTACCAAATGGTCCACTTTATTCTCAGCTGGGGCTATCTGAGATGGAAATGCTTCAACTTGACACAAGTTTCAAAGTTGATAGCCTAATTTCCAACTCTCAGTAGTCAATTCCAGCCTCTCTTCAACAATACCTTTCTTTAATTCCAACTCCTTCAATTCTCAGTTACATAGCTTGCATTCCCCCTTAGCTTCACCTGACTTGATTGAATGGTTACCAAGTTAACCACTGGATTTTCATATAGGTCCACAATGAATTACTTTTGCCCTCCCTCACTGTCATTTAGTTGGCACAAACTTGTTTGGTTGAAGCACAACATTCCCAAACACAGTCATATTTTTTGGATGGCTGTCAAAGAGAGACTTTACACCCTTGATTTGAAGCCTATGCGGCATAAACACTACACCAATAGATGCTACTTATGTATGTTTGATTGGGAGTCATTGGATTACCTATTCTTCAAGTGCCCATTCAGTAGCTCAATTTGGGAATTCATACAGAATGTTGCTAGGTTCTACATTAGGCCTAATTGTTGGACTGATCTCATTTCCTAGTGCTCATCCAACTAGCAAAAGAATCACTTCACACTGCATAAGCTCCTGCTCTCGGCTGCTATCTACTTTATTTGGTTTGAAAAGAATGCCAGGGCCTTCAGAAATAAGGCTTCCAGTGCTCAACACATCATTCAGCTCATCAAAAGTTGCATCAGAGCAAGATTATCAACACTGGTTTTGAAGAAGGAGGCTGAGCTAAACCAAAAGCATTCAATGGAGGACCTGCAGAAGATGTTCCTAGATGAATGTGTATTTGCTGGCTGCCACACATGGCTTCTCTCAGATGATTAGCCAATTCTGGAGGTTGTTTTATAGGTCATAGGGATGTTCAGTCCTAGTTGGTGTTGATGTATACTAGTGTTTGTTGATGTTTTTGCTTGTTCATGTTTGGTTTTTATGTTGTTCACTCCCCTTACTTGGGGGTATCCTGTACATTCTATTCTTTCCTTTCTTAATATATGCTTACCTTTTAACTATAAAAAAAACATTTGAATGGAATTTAAATAATAAATAAATAAATGGGGAAGTATTATGTTTTCCTGTACGAATTTATTCAAATTTGTAGACCTGTATAATAGTCATCACATATATATATATATGTATGGGCTAGAGTTATATAAGTAGAATTTTAAGGTTGGAACCTGCCAGTAGATTAAATTTAATGTAGCTCTCATATGACTTTGATTGAGATATAATTATAATTTTATTTTTTATTTTTTGGTAATTGCCACTGTGAACTTCTTTTTTGGAATTCAACTACAACAGCTTAGTATATCAGAGCAAAATAACATCATCATGTCATTTATAATGTATTCAACTGTTTTATGTGAAGGAAGATAACATCATCATGTTATTTATGATGTCATTCTTTATTCACATAATTTTAATATGATGTATTAAAATGCAGTTGGTTGGGCCAGCTGGCTTTTTGTAAATTGCAAGTCTTTGGGCCAATAGGCTCTATGTATTCCCGGCCCATAATGGGTTTGTACATTTGTTTTTATTAATATACTCGTCTTACCATTCAAAATAAATTAACACATGGCATACATCCAAGATTTTTAAGCTCAGTTCTGCAATTTCTGGTTGAATTTCTCAGTTCTTCACAATTGGATACATATTGTTTTTCAGAATTGCACATTCAACCCTTAGTCACAATAGTCCCTACATTAATTAATTAGAAAATATATTTATTTATTTGTGTGAGACACTACATAAGACTTCAACGTACAATACCCTTGCAACTAGTAAATTTAGTAGTAAATTGAGAGGGCTTGGTTTACAGCTTATTCTAATGCCTCTAGAATGAGAGTTCTCTATCTCTTGCAAACCATCCCATTTCCATTCATCCCACACTGCAAGCTCGAATACGGTTTGGCGCGATCCTTCATCACAGCATGCCAACCAAACCTAGATGCTAAGCAATCCGTAGCAAAGATGCTAGAAGATGAGAACTTATGCACACCACCCATTACAGGCATTGGAACATTGACCTTAGCCTTACTCACATAGTTAGTCCTATAAGTCTGACCTAGAACTCCATCCACAATATCACTAAGATTATAGAATCTAAACCCTAGCTCCAAGTGAGCGAAGCAATCCTCGTCACTTATATTGTATCCATGCACTCTTGACTCTTCTGCTGTGATTGGAACCACCGCTGCATTAACCATAAAATTATCAGCAACCTCAACTTTGACATGGTTCATGGCGCTTGTTCGCGTGATGCTGACAAGTGGTGCTATCGGTGAATCACACTTGGAGCCTTCACTGGCGGGGAGGGAGATGGGCATGTCGTTGAAGGATATGGCAAGGTGATCGGTTTTGTCATCCCACATTGATGTCTGTTTAGCCGCGACAAGAAGCTTTTGATTGTTGAAAATGATTCCAATTGATTGCACCCAAGTGAAGTCTCTCTTGAGGTTAGGGTTTCGCTTGCCGATGAAATGGGCATTGATGTGGAGATTAGTGTCGGAAACTAGGCAGAAGTCTTGATCTTTGCGGCCATGGAAGTAGAAGGTTATGCCATCTCCACCTACAAAGCGAGGGTCCTCACAAATGGCACCAGGATAATTGCAACCTGCATATATAAAAATTAAGAACATCTCAATCTTCTTGATCTTTGTTTAGAGTAGAAGTGAAGATTGTTGCCTAGCTAGTTTTGAAGAGGTAAGGTGGAAATAGAACTAACATTCAGCAATTTTAGAGTAAAGGGAAAATAGAACTAGTATTTAGCATTATTTTACATAAAGTGGCTTCAAATTTTCATCGTTACACCCAAATATGGTTTTTATTTTTTTATTTTATTTTATTTTTTTTTTTTTTTTCTGAAAGTGAAAACAAATCCGCACACACTCATAGCTCTAGTAGGGCTTGAACATGGTCTCTAATAGCCACGATCCTCACAATATAACTCTAATTGGGCTTGAACACTCAACCTCTTATTTGGGAACAGTGATAAATGCTCTCTAATAGTCACCGCTTGACATGCTAAATTTCACCTCCCATTTGGGCCCAGCGATAAATGGTCTCGAGGAGTCACGGTCTGACACCCGCCCTAAATTTCATTAGCTACACTTTCCTAGTCCATTATATTTCTGCAACAAAATTAAACATATAATAGATCGAATAGGTGCTGCAGAGGTGAAGATCACTTACTACAAACTGGCCTGCAAGCGACACAGTCCAACAGACAGTTTTTGGGACAAGCTACGGGGCACAAGAACCAGATATTAAAGCAACCTGAATACCCAATAGACCGGCATCTAACCCGGCGTGGTATGATCGTCTTAGCTGCCATTGCCGCGGCAGAGAACCATAGGATGAGCAGAAAAAGGACCCAAATGGGCAGCAAGTTCATTTTCTTGTTCACATGACTCATAGTTACCCTAGACACAAATACAAACATTTTCTTATTACATAATTGTTATACACTGCCTCTCTCTTTTATAGATGAGGACTGACGAGCCAGGCATAATAATCGTTCTACATGTGAGAAGGTAACCCAAATTCAGGTTTCGGTCCCTGAGAATATTGCAATTTACATGTGAGAAGGGACCGAAATTCAGGTTGCGTGACCTGTCATGGAAAAAAAATTCAGGTTTCATGTGAGAAGGGAACCCAAATCTTAACAGTCGCGCTCATAGTAGGCATTTGTGGGTGAGTATGTGAATATTTAAATATCAAAAAAAAAAAAAAAAAAAAAAAAAAAAAAAAGAACAAACAAACAAACAAAAAAACCAGCCTTTAGTGTTAATTAATACTGGTTCAATGCTTAATTCTGATTAAATTAAGTGTTATGAATTTGATAGCACAGTATAAGTACCACTTAAAATATTAAATACAATTGAAAGGTAAAACTATAAGTTAATGATCGGTCGCTTGTCACTCAACACTTGCAATTCAAAGAAGTGTAAAAAAAAAATAAAAAAAATCTCAATTAACCATGAGGCTCTAATCTGATGGTATATGCTTTCTCTCTAGAAGAATTGTTTATTATTTTGAGATTTTCGTTTGTGGCCTAAACGGGCTCAGATTGTTCTGAATTTCTTTATTTAGTAATTTTTATTTTTTTTATATTTATTCAGTAGTTTTTATAGATTGGATTTAGTATTCTATTTTTTTTTTTTTTTTTTGTAATTTTTGGAGTAAGTTGATATTTAGACTTATTTTTAGTGTTAGTTTGCTTTGATATTAGATTTCCTTTGTTATAATGTTTTCAAATGTTGTTAATTTTGTTATGATTTAGGATTTTTTTTTCATTATAAATACAAGTACCATAGAGAGCATAATCACACGTTCAATTCTCAATGCAATATCAACTTTCTCTAAAAAAAAAAAAAAATTCTCACATTATGGATTCAAAATTAATTAGTATTTCTTCGTGAATTTTCATAACTTTTGCTTTATCACAACAGCTTCCAACCATTGGGCCCTCTGGGCTATGTTTGTATAGCTTTTATGAGTTAGCATAGGGCTAACTTCTGGGCTGTATCTTTTCTTCAATTTTAATGTTAAATTTAACTTTCCAATTAAAAATAAATAAATAAAAAATAAAAAAAGCAGCATCCAACCATCTTTACGTATGATCGGTCCCTAATCTATGTGAACCAAAATCCTCCTCAGAACCACATTTTTATGCATTAACACCATGATGCATGCTTCAATACATTTATTTTGAAATTCGTAAAATTTAAAGTATAAATGACGTTGTCTTGATAACTACGCGTAACATGACACTTTGTCCGTGGTTATTTGTTGTTGATTTTCTTTGATTTTATTTCAATACAAATCAATCTCATATACCCTACAACAAAAATGAAGGGACCTATTTTTTTCAGAAATATCATCAACAGTTGGATAGTATGAACCCTATCTCTAACTTCCAAAAATATATATAAGAACCCTATCTCTTTTAATGGTTAAACAACCACAACTGTAGCTAACATAACAACTCTCCATTGATATATATATATACACACACACGACTTGTTTTGGTAGTACTGCAAAAAGTACGTGCATTGGTACATATTATGTACCACCCACCTCAGCTACCAGCATAAGCCAGGGAGGACCCATGTATCGTTATCACACTAGGTTAAAGAATTCATAGAGTCACAAAACCAATGACAAAACTAATTTGCTTAAATTGAAAACTAATTGTAGATTTGAGTGAAATTCATTTGAATTTGAATTTGAAGCGTTGGTATTGTCAAATAAACACTGACTTTTGTGAAAACAAATGCTTCTTAGAGAAGTTGTGTGACCTGCTTATAAATCAAGTTACATATCTGTGGCAAAAGCCAAAAATGATTTGGCAAGAGGGTCACCCTAACAACAATAGAATATATATATGTGTGTGTGTGTGTGTAATAATATATACAAGCTCGAATACCGTTCATCCCACACTGCAAAAGTCAGTGTTCACATTTCTAAGGCTAAGGGGAATGGCTAGAGGTATTATCAAATATAAGGTGGGGAATGGGACAAGCACGAAGTTGTGACTAGATTTCTGGCTACCAAATGGCCCAATTGTTAAACAGTTAGGACTAGATGATTTGGAAATTCTTCAATTGGACACTTTGGCCACAGTTGATAGCCTAATTTTCAACAATCATTGGATGCTACCTTTATCATTGAGCTTCCCTCAGTTCTTTCAGTCACTGGACTTTCTCTCTCAACTGTACTCCTTACCTTTTCCCTCTGATGAACAGGATATATGGCATTGTGTGGCTGCCAAGTACTACTGGTATTTATTCATTCTCTCATACCATTGCATACTTCACACCTCCATCCCCAATATTTGTCTGGCATAATTTAATTTGGTTTAAGCATCACTTACCATAGCACAACTGCATAACTTGGTTAGCTGTGAGAGGAAGGCTCTACACACTGGACTCCAAGCCAATGGTCCATAAGCACTATATTAATAGATGTTACCTATGTCTTGCTGAGAGTGAGTCTATGAACCATTTGTTCTTCAAGTGCAGCTACAGTTCACAGATATGGAGGTTTATTCAGGAGATTGCTGGGTTTTACATACTTCCCAACTGTCGGTTGGATTTGATTCAATGGTGTTCAACCCATTGGAGTTCGTCAGAATATTTGACACACAAACTTCTATTGTCAGCAGCTATTTACTTTATTTGGCAAGAGAGAAATGCAAGGGCATTCAAAAATGTTTCTACTCCTTCACATCACATTATTTCTCAAACCAAAACTTGTATCAGATCAAGGCTTGCAACAATTAAGATAAAGAGGAGTACAGACCTTAGCCTAATCACAACTGAGCAAGATTTGTTTGTGCAGGCGTGTTCCACCTCCTGTGTGCACTCTTGGCTAGTATCCTAAGGTTTTAGTTGGTTGCTAATAGTGTTATTTTATTTGTTCTACATTTAATTGTACAGTACTGCAGCTAAGGTTTTGGTTAGAGGTTGCATAGGGCTGCTTCTTTGGTTGGTTTTCTCTTTGTGTTCTTCCCCGGCCATCTTGGGGCCTCATGTACATTCTTTCCTTTTTTATATACAAGCTTACCCTTTAACCAAAAATAAAAAACACCATGATGCACGCTTCAATACATTTATTTTGAAATTTGTAAAATTTAAAGTATAAATGACATTGTCTTGATAACTACGCGTAACATGACACTTTGTCCGTGGTTATTTGTAGTTGATTTTTCTTTGATTTTATTTCAATACAAATCAATCTCATATACCCTACAACAAAAATGAAGGGACCTATTTTTTTCAGAAATATCATCAACAGTTGGATAGTATGAACCCTATCTCTAACTTCCAAAAAAATATATATGAACCCTATCTCTTTTAATGGTTAAACAACCACAACTGTAGCTAACATATATAACAACTCTGCATTGATATATATATATATATATATATACACACACACCCGACTTGTTTTGGTAGTACTGCAAAAAGTACGTGCATTGGTACATATTATAGACCACCCACCTCAGCCACCAGCACAAGCCAAGGAGGACCCATCGTTATCACACTAGGTTAAAGAATCCAGAGAGTCACAAAACCAATGACAAAACTAATTTGCTTAAATTGAAAACTAATTATAGATTTGAGTGAAATATATTTGAAGCGCTGGTATTGTCGAAGAAGCACTGACTTTTGTGAAAACAAATGCTTCTTAGAGCAGTTGTGTGACCTGCTTATAACTCAAGTTACATTTCTGTGGCAAAAGCCAGAAATGATTTGGCAAGAGGGTCACCCTAACAACAATATATATATATATATATATATATATATATATATATATATACATACGTTATTAAGTTTTTTAAGCATTATTTATTTATTTATTTATTTATTATAACTATCGCACCCAAGTGAGTTGCTGTATTAATTATTACAATATAATATATATATGTGTGTGTGTGTGTTTATTTGTATAAATGGATGGATGGTTGACCTGAGTTGGTGAAGTGGTTGAGTCCATGATCTTGAATACTTTTTTTGCCCTTTCTTTACTTCTTTATTTATACATATTTTTAGGGTAAGGACTCTTTCTATGAGTTTAAAAAAACTAAGGTGCATGCAATTAAATTAGAAAATGATATCCTTCATGATTTTCGCCGTAAAAACTGAAAAAAAAAAAATGCATATTCAATTATAATTCCATTAATTTTTATATGATTTAAAGTCTTCTAACACATGATCTATGAACTTGATTAATAATAATGATATAACAAAATGGCAAAGATCAATGGAAATTGGCAAAAGAACCCCACCTTGTTAAAAAATCACATGAAACTTGGATCTACTAAAAGTATCCAACAAAATTAAACAAGCCCATAAATTAAATATTTTTATATCTAATATACCATTATATAATTTTTTGTCCAAAATACTATTTTGACACTTATTATCGTGTGAAAAATAGATTTAATTGTGTTGAAACAATATCAACATTGTTCCAAATGCAATTAAATTTAGTTTTAAAATATTACTTTCAACTTAAAATAATGTATTAAAATATAATTTAATTACGTTGAGCACACACAACACGCTAAAGAAGATCAACAGTCCAAGACAATCCAGTTGATTCACTACAATGTCGTAAATGAAGCAGAGTTTTGTAAAAAAAAAAAATATGGCATTTTTTATTTTTTATTTTTTGAAAGAGTGAGGTTGCTTTTGAGGTTTAATTCTTATTGAAGATTTAGTAAAATAAATATATATGTATTAAAAAAAAATTAAAAACATTTTTTTTTTTTTTTTGAAAAAAGTGAGGTTGCTTTTGAGGTTTAATTATTATTGAAGATTTAGTAAAATAAATATATATGTATTAAAAAAAAAAAATTAAACATGTCTATTTTTATGTCAATCTATCTTTAGGTAACTGATGCAAAACCTGCCATGTGGAAGGCCTAAAAAAAATTAATAAAAAATAAAAAAAGGATGAAGAGTACAAGAATATATTGCACGCGCTTGTACTTCACTTCAGCAGTTGTACTGCAACATAACGTACTTGTACCAGAACACTTTCGCCTTCAAGTATCCGTTTTGGTAGTACTGATGACCTAACTCAAATAAGTTCGAACCCTAACTTGTTTTTCAAAAATGGGTTAGGTTGGGATTGGTCGGGTTAGGGTTAGGGTTCGAGATGGACGGATTGAACTCGTGTTGCTCGTGTTAAGCTCAAAATAATTTCAGTATATGATCAATTTGAAAATTTGAATGTATTGTAATAATATTGTTATAAATAATAATAATAATATATGTTCAGTTACATTTGGACTAATTATCTAAACATTTAAATTTGAATTGGAGATAAAGTTAACCTACACAAATTATATCGTTATACTTAAAAAATTCATCTCATCATACGGTATGAAGAAAAAAAATTTATGTAAATAGTTTGTTGAGTCCTGTGACTTCCTATCTTAGAATCTAAATCCGAGTTAGAGGCTATGAACTTAATCTATGAGCCAAACCACTTAGGCTTAGTTTGAATTAAACTAGATTTGTTTCATATATACTCCTCGCCAAAAACCAAATCTGATGCATGACATTTCTTTTTAAAGAAGATACATACATAATCCACTCATTTTGAATAAAAATCAAAATATGATTAAAAATTTTAAGCCTAACCCATTTTCAGTTTAATTATAGTTATTATAATATGTTGTTGGAAGAGTTTTAAGTTTATCGGGAGGAGTGTGATTCCTTGACCATTTTTTTTTTTTTTTTTTTTTTTTGGGTCTAAGGCTCTAACATAAGTTTTTACACACACACACACACAGCAACTAATAAGGGCGGGGCAGGTGTCTCCTAGCCTGGCCCGCTTATTATAATATATATATATATATATATATTAAATATGTGAAAAAAATTCATATAATGCCCCATTTAAAATTTTAATTTTCTAAAATTATCTCTTAAGTTTTGTATTTCTTCTCTTTTTTACTCTTTAAATTCGTTTAATTTCCTTTAAAAAAAAAAGTCAAATTTTCCTTTTTGAATCAAATTTTAATTTTTTTCCATTTCAAAATTCTCTCATTTTTCTTTCCTTTTTAAATTTTTTATTAATTATTTATCTTTCTATTATTTTGATTAATTTTTATTCTTTGTTGGAATTTATATTTATTGTCGTGATTATTGAATTTTTTTTTTTTTTTTTGGTTACACTGCCCCTGAATTTAATTTATGGCTTTCCTATCAACCAACTTCAAACCACCGAATCAATTTCATTTTTCCAAAACAACGTGACCCCCAGTCAGACTTGAAAGAGTCATGCTAAATTTAAAATACCTCATAATATATTACCGAACACATGTTATATATAATATTAAAAAGAAGAGTTAATCTTACACAAGTACAGTGTTGAAGTATAAAATTTGTAAAGTATTAAAGAATAAAATTGGTGTGTTCTTGGGAAAAAAAACTTCTTCCCTAAATGCACACTAGGATAGGTATGAAATGACTTGAGATAGTGGCTCAAACTTTAGGAAACATAACTCATCTTTCATTTTCGCATTAAATTTATGTCAACAATGCACACACTCTATTTAACTATAAACTTGAACATTCAATGATTCCAAGGCAAAACACAAATTTTTTATTTCCACTGTAGTTTGGTCAACATACCATGCCCCCCTTGCAACGAACACAAATTCAAATTTGTCAAAAATTAGGAAATAAAAATTTCAAATTGTGAATATTATATAGAATAAAGTAAAAAATTGTTTTTTAAATTAATAATGGAAGAAAATTAACAAGATCAATAATATAACCCTTTTGAATTCAATATAATCAAGTTCTCACACACACACACATATAATTAAATATGAAACAAAAAACAACCTTAAAGTATATTTCTCGAATCACTTTTACCCCCTATTTAAAAAAGTGTATAAAAAATATTCATAATTTTTTCACATTACGCAAAAATACCCCCTCTATCATAAATTAATATTTTAATACTCATTTTGTCCTTTTACTCTCTTGAAAATGCCTAAAGGGATATATATATGTTACTAGACTCATAGTATAGGGATGTTATGTTGCACATTACCTTAAAATATATATATTATTTTTAAAACTTTTTTCTCTATATACATCTCTAAACATTTTTTATTTTTTTTTTAACTATGAGAATTTGTATAACAAGGATTTGAATTTTTTGAAATTCCAATTTACTCTTCTTCTTTTTTTTTTTTTTTTTTTTCGTACCAACACTATGAAAGCAAAAAAAATAAAAATTCCCAATATCAGTGTGCACTAATTTTCGAAGTTTGAGAAAATTTTGTTTTCTTTAATTTGCACTTTATTTTTATTTTTTATTTTTATATATTTTATAAAATGATTCGATTAGGGTAATTTAGTTAATTTAAGGTTTAAATTTGTCAGAGAAACCTATTTGCACCAAATTAAAACTTTCTGACGGTTTTTTGAATGGGGGGCATTCTTCAATAGTATCATTTTCGATCATTTTACAAAATTATTTATTTTTATATATTTTACAAAATGGTTCAGTAACGGTAATTTAGTCGAGTTTAAATTTGTTAAAGGTACTTATTTGTACTAAATTGAAACTTTAGACTGTTTTTTGTACGTGACAAGTAAGGCTGACCACGGATCCGATCGGTTCGGTTCGGTTTTGAGTAAAATTCAAACCAATCCGATCCTCATGGATTGGCTAAATTTGAAACAAAATCGGTCCGTAGGGACTATCAATCCAAACTGTGAAATAACGGATTGGTTTGGTTCGATTCCCACGGATTGAGTTTTTTCAAATAGCCCAATATAATTATATTGTAGTTATGGCTTAGCCCAATATATGATTATATTTTACTATTTTAGTTATGACTCAGCCCAAATAATAAATCTTTTAAAATGGTATGTTATAACACATTTAATCTAAAAACAAATAAGGAATTAAAAAAAAATAGAAATAATATATTACAGTATACATATAATTATATATATATATATTAATTATATAATATAATTCACTGATCGGATCGAATCGGTTCAATTTTTTCAGAGTTTAATCCGTTAATCGAACCGTTCATTACGGATTGCTAATTTTTAAAACTATCACCAAACCATTAGATCAAAAAATCGAACCGAATCACACGGGTTGGATTAATTCGGATCAGTTTGACAGATTAGTAGATTATTTAAACACCCCAAGTGAAAAGTGTGATATGCATTATAAACATATTTTAAGAGTATTTTTTGCACTTCAACTGAGTAAATATAATATATGTATACAAACTGTACAGGTAATACATATATTATGTATCGGAAATTGACCCCTATGGGTATGCCTTTAACGTTACGCAAACTAAAGTCCGGGTCAAACCGACGCAACAAAAAGCACCGCCGCCGAACCCAACCCGACCCTTCCACCATCCCTTGGCTTCTCTATAAAAGGGCAAGACCCTTCTCAGAATCCCATATAACATAAAACCACTTTCTCTCTCTATCCTTCCTATTTAAATTTCTTCCGATCAATCATAGTCAACATGTCTCAGGTATTTCTATTCTTCTTTTCTTCGTTCTTGACTCAGTATACACATTCTCAGCCATTTGATTTTCTGTTCTGTTTTGTTGTTACCATTTTTTTTTTCTTTTTGTTCCGTTCGAATTTATGTTTGTTTTTTCATGAATAAATCTTTGTATCATGGGTTGCTTATATCTTTCTTTTTTTTATTTTCCATTATATGTTCCTGAGATCTGGCATTCTATTTAGAAACTTGAGAATTAGGAATTATAATATATATATATATAATGTATATATTTATGTATCAGGTATATAATGCCAAAATGGGGTTGTAATTAAAACTAAGCTGAAAAGTTGGGCAGAATTATAATGAGAAGTGCACTATTATGGGGAAATCATTAGAAATTGTTTGTTTGTCTTACAATAATGGTTCAGCTGGATTTTTTTATTCTAGGTTCTGTAAAACTTTTAAGCAGTCAAATTTATGAAAATTGTGGGTTTCTAAATTCACCAATTTGAATTAGGGTAAAATTTTCGCCTAGCTTATTGGCAGAGTAAAACACATAAATTGGATTTCTTATTGTATGTTGGACTTTGTTCAATTATGGCCTTCTTCTAGAGATCTGTGTATTTGCTTCCTTTTTGTGGGAAATACTTCTCATGGGCATACATTAGCATGCGTATGTGCAAGACAACAGACACAAATTCCCATTGTGAACGCACTTATGCGCCTTAGCACACGAACACATTCACAAGGTCATTGATTCACAGCCAAGGCCACTTGAAAAGAGGACTTATACAATGTTGTTGAAACCATTAAAAGGCCGGTTGTTTCTGCCTGAAACCCCATTGCTCCCAAAGTTTCGAAAGCGTGTCAAAGACTCTCAGGAGCTTGAGGTTACTTGTTGTCTTATTTGCAAATTCATCAATTTGGATTCGGAGTGTTCTAGCAATTTTGGTTTTTATTTCCTTTGCTCATACATTAGCAAGCACAATCTGCGTGCCTAAGCATGTAAGTACAGGCATTTATACATCGATTCACAGCCAAGGCCCCTTTGAAAAGAGGCCATAGGCAATGAGTTGCGGAGACCATTAAATGTCTGTTAAGCCAGCCTAAAACCCCATTTCTTCCATGGTTTTGGAGGTAGCTTGGGTACCTGATTTTGCTTGTTTTCTCGTCTGCAATTTAAAAATTCTTGAAATGATGACCTGCCTTTTGATGGAAGTCATATGCCTATTTTTATACCATCGTTATAAAAGCTATTTTGATTATAATAGAGAAGCACTTTTAACTTAGCAAATCGTTGGTGTTGCAACTATCCACTATGTGCTATAATATTGAGCCAAAAATGCTCTACGATAATTCTTTTTCTTTTGTGGTATCTGTTTATTCTTTATTTCCATTACAATTTAGAAATCGTCTGCATGCCAAAATTGGCAACTTTTGTCGAAGCAATAACTATAAATTTGTTTTAGAAGCTAGAAAGTACATCAAAACTGGCCCCTAATTTTATAAATTTTTAGGTTGTCCTGAATCACTTTCTGGAATCTGCATTTCACCATGTTTATTGTGAAGCTTGAGTGCACGTGTAGCAATGAAAATTAATCTAATTCTTCAAAGAAAATATGGTTTTCAAACAATCAAGTGTTTTAGTATTAGCAGTATGTTCTATTTGTGTGCTTGTCTGTTTCTTACACTTGGGTTGCGTTTAAAATCCCATTGATTTTAAAATGGGTCCGTGGCATTTGAAGAGAAAATTCATCAATAAAATTTAACTCATTAGGCTACATTAGTGATTTCTCCGTATTTCATGGCACACAATTGTTTCATGTTTCCTTGAAAGCCTGTTTTTTATGGCTGTGATTTTGGAAATGGTCCCATTCAACATGGTAGACTCTTATCTTGAAATGCTATATAAGAAGTAAATAGGGCGGTTTGAAATTCAACAAGCCCCTGAAAAAGTTGTCTCGAATATAATGTCTTAAAACCTATTCTTGGCATTAGAATATTGCTAACAAAAATGGCAGTTACAGAATATTTTACAATGACCCTGTCTATTTCTGTTGGAACTTCAAACTGTTTGAGAAGAAGTCAAATTAAGCTGACATTTTAGAATCTAAAAACATATCTGAATGAGGTCATAATTCATATGTTATAATTCTGAAGCAGTTCCATCCCATTTAGAGAATTGTTTTATAAAATCAGTACGATTTATTTGTCATATATACCTTATTATTGAACTCCATTATATTTATAAACTCTTGACTTATGGTTTATGTTTCACACTTGATTTTGTTATCAAGCTGATTATTTGCTCTTATAGGTTTCTTATCTGAGATGCGAAATTGTTGAAATAAGATGTCTTATTTATCTGATTAGTTGGAGGCATAAACCTAGAGAACTCAAGGCTAATGTTAAATTGGCTCAAATTGTTTGAGAGGCTCGCCTCAAATAATGACCTTATATTTAGGAATTTCTCCCCTTGGTATTCTTTTTTTTTGCAATGATTTTATATCTCTCTTATTGTATCCTCTTGTGATGATAACTTGAAATTTATTCATTCTTAATGCAGACTGTTGTCCTCAAGGTTGCCATGTCATGCGAAGGCTGTGTTGGGGCCGTAAAGAGGGTTTTAGGCAAAATGGAAGGTTTGTTGTGCATCTGTGTTCACTTTATTTTTCATCTGTTCCAACTATATGCCATTTCAGATGCTGCATGATTATTAGAAACTCAGAATTCCTAACTTGCGTTGAGTAAAGTTCCCTTTTTTCCTTTCTTAAGCATAATGGAGCTTTTGTAATGTGGCCAAATGTTTGGGAATCGCTATGCAGTTCTGTCGAAATTCTGTTCCTCTGAAGTCTATAATTCTCCTCGTTGAAAACTTTGAGATGGTCCATGGCATAGTTGGTTGTTGTGTCAAGCTGTCTAATCATTTTGTAAAATACTAAAATCTTGTCAGGATTTTATATTAAGAAACACATGAATTGACGACTCAACTGGCCAAATGATTCCCTTTTCAGCATGGTCAAACATGTGCAATAAAAGATTAAATGGGAAAGCATGTGCAATTGAGAAGAAACCTCTTTGTTTCTCTGCTTTGTTGGTTAGCTTTTTGCAAGCGATCAGACTCCATGTAGCTGAAGTCAATATAGTATTTAAGATTTTCTAAAATAATAATATTAATAATGAGAAAATAAATATTGACATAATATATTACAAGAGCTTTAGCAATTGATTAGGCTCTGATTTCTGAATTCAATATGGAAGTAAAGCTTAATTTGTTTGAAATGGTGAATGATGATGAGGACTATTTACAAAGCCTGTACTTATTTTGGGATTACATGATATAGAAATTTCGGCCTAGATTATGATTGAATACAACTTTGCCTTGACTTAACATGTCAGAGATGGGTGGTTTTTACAATAATCTCAAACACAATCAAATGTCTGCTACTTGGTGCTCATTACTGTAACCACTGCTTTTACCATCAGCTGGGTAACACATGCTTATAATGTTATTTGGTTGATATATACTCATTGCATCCCTTTTGGACCGTCCTTTCAGGTGTGGAATCCTTCGATGTTGATCAGAAGGAGCAAAAAGTGACGGTGAAAGGCAATGTGCAGCCGGAAGCAGTTCTTCAAACTGTTTCCAAAACTGGTAAGAAGACTTCCTTCTGGGAAGAAGGAGCATCTGTTGCTGCCACTTAATTTGATCCCCACGATAGCTCTTTCGGAGTAAGCTGTGTATCAACTGGTTAGCATGGTGCACTTACGACGAGTATTTATGAACTGTGGAGTGTTATGAAAGGATTTACTTGAGTGTAAGCTAAATAATTTCTTGCCTGCTTTTCCAATATGATCTTCTGTACTAAGGAGTATTATAGTTTATGAATAGAAGAAAGTGTATTCCTTATGATGTCATTAGCTTTTGACCGTCCTGTAATGCTTCTGTTTCTGAAATGAAATCACAATCTTTAGAGGGAGAAAAATAAAATCAAATCAAAGGAAAAGGAGGGTTAGAAAATGAAGATGGTTGGTAAACAATTGTTCATCAGTTAACTCATTTGAAAAACAGAACTTCATTTCACTTTAGGGAGGAAGATGTCACGGGCCGAATGCTTTGCAATTCGATCCAAAAGTTTACGGCCCGGCCCAAAACCTTATGAGTACAGTCCTTGAAGCCCGATCCTATGTTATGCTTGAAGGACTTGGGCTTGAGAAGGTTGTTTGGACTTCAATATGGGCTACACAACTCTTAAATTCTGTAGTCTACTAATCAAGATAAAGGAGGACAAAAATAAGCCCATCCTTGATCCGTAGTTCCCAGGCCATGGTGAAGAAACCTAGTGACAGTGTCACATTATATAATAGTCACTGGCCTAACTGTCTAATCTTGAGTCTTGGACACAGTTGCTTGATGGTGACAAATTCACCTCGCACCAATGTAAGGTCTATAAAGGACTTTTATTTTTATTTTTAGCTTTCTCACTTTGAATTGTAGAAAATAAAAATGCCAATTCAAATTCAATTCACCCACGATTTACTTTGGGAGATCAGTTAGTTTTTTTTTTTTTTTTTTTTTCAAGCAAATTAACCTTTAATTAATCTCATCCGGTTTTTACACCAAATGTAGTAATCTAATGATATTTTTTTATCTTCTAAAATAAATGGTTCAGAAAGTTCCAAAGTAAAAGGAGATTTTTTTTTATAATTATTGATCGTATCATTGTAAAATACCTTTAAACAATACTATTGAAGCGACTTAAAACTTACAATTTTTGCTTTGAAAGAAAAAATAATTCATGTTCACATGGTCAATGCTTTTCAAGCAAGAGAAGTAGAGGCAAGTGACAAGTTTTGCTTGATGGTGAAGTAGTGATCTCCGAGCATTTACGTTTCTATCTTACAAAGTAGTAGATGAGAGTTCAAATCCTTGTAAAAAATCTCTGCATAACTTTTCTCAATTAATCAGAGAAAAATGAAAAAAAAAAAAAGCTTAAAAAACATAAAAGTAAATTTATTTGAAATGATTTGGTAGGCACATGACACCTTCCTAAAGATTATATTTGAGTTAAAAAAATGTTTAATGTAAATAGCAGGTTTAAATTTCTTGAAAATCATTTTTGTTTTCATGATTTTTGAAAATTACTTTGAGATAATTAAATAAAAAAATCCTAAGTTCATTTTCCTTTCTCCTTTTTCTTTTTCATGTCCTACCAAATGGTAGAGGAGAAAAATCTAAAATTTCTACACATATATTTCCTTTCCTCCCCATTCCTCTATTTGCTTTATATTTTTTGTTCCTTTTTGGTTTTTTTTGGCCTTTTTGAGTAAGTTTTTCTTTTCTCCGATTGTCCTTACTCCTTCCCTCCTCTCTCTCTATCTCTCCTCTTCCATTTCCTTCGTTCTAAAACATATATATCATCGCTTCGCTAACCAGACATATGATTCAAATTTTAAAGATTTCTGTTCCAAGACAAAATAAACGATTATCACCCAAAGATTCAATTTTCAGAAGAATAGTTTGTTCCATCTGACAAATGACAATCTAGAAAAATGACCATCAATTCCATAACCAAACAACTACCTCCTCCTCTGCGTTCAAGTCCATTTCAATGGCATTCTCTAACCTTTTGCGCTTATTGGGCAACACGCGGTCAGTTCTCAGAGGCAGAATAGTCCACGCCAAGATAATCACATCTGGGTTTCACCCAGATGTTTATGTAAACAACCATTTGTTATCAATGTACTTGAAGTTTGATTGTATCGAGGATGCTCGTAAAATGTTCGATAAAATGCCTGAACGAAATCTTATTTCGTGGACAACCTTGATCTCTTGGTATTCACAAATGGGTCTTGCAGAAGAATCTTTGAATTGTTTTAGACTGATGCTTGGTGATGGTTTTTATCCGAACCATTACACTTGTGTTAGTGCTATATCTGCTTGTGCTAGCATAGGGGCTATAAGAACTGGAAAAGAAATTCATGGAATGATTTATAGGTTGGAGCAAGAGATGAATAGTTTTGTTAGTAATTGCTTGGTCAATTTTTATGGGAAGTGTGGGTCGTTGAAATCAGCTCGGTTAGTGTTTGATGCAAATTTGGAGCCAAATTCAGTCTCTTGGACTTCACTTCTTTCGTGCTATTGCCAGTGGGGAGAAAATGTGGAGGGGCTAAACATTTTCTTGCGGTCTCACAAGGCGGGAGTGAAGCTTAATGAATTTTGTTGTGTGAGTGTGCTGGGGGCTTGTGCTGCATTGGTCAAATTAGAAGTTGGAATGCAGGTGCATTCGCATGCTGTCAAGTGTGGTTTTAGAATGGATCAGTTTGTTGTGACTGGGTTGATAAATTTTTATGCAAAGTGCAGTGAATTAGACCTAGCCCGTCAAGCATTTTGGGAGGTAGACAAGCCACACATGACAGCATGGACTGCACTAATAGGAGGATATACTCAACAAGGGAAGGGTAGAGAGGCCATTGATCTTTTCTGTATGTTTCGCTCTTCCGGTCTCATACCAAGTGAGAGAACACTTTCATCTGTGCTTGGAGCCTTTTCACATGCAATGGAAATCAATGTTGGGAAACAAATTCATTCTTTAATCGTAAAATTTGGATTCGGTTCATTTACATTTGTCAGCAATGCACTTCTGGACTTTTACTCAAAATGTGGGCTTCTCGTGGAATCTTTGAAGGCTTTTGAAGAAATGGATGCACATGATATTGTCTCTTGGAACACACTGATCTCTGGATGTGTGAATTCAGGTAGTTTTAAAGAGGCCATTGAATTTCTTCATCGAATGTTGTTTGAAGGGTTTGATCCTAATCTTTACACATATTCTAGCATTTTGAGCTTCTGCGGGGATCTCCCGGCTGTCGAATGGGGCAAGCAAACCCATTGCTGCATTATGAAACCTGGGTTTGATTCCAATGTGGTTGTTGGAAGTGCCCTCATTGACATGTACGCTAAGTGTGGACGGCTGAGTGATGCTCGGAAAGTTTTTGATAATCTTCCTTCAAAGAACTTGGTTTCTTGGAACACTATGCTTGTGGGATACGCACAGCATGGGTTCGGGAAAGACGCTTTACGTATCTATGATATGATGCAAAAAAATGGGGTTAAACCTAATGATATCACATTTATTGGAGTATTATCTGCCTGTGGGCATGTGGGACTCTTAGAGGAGGGATTGCATCACTGGAATTCCATGACCAACGACTATGGAATTGCCCCAAGGACGGATCACTTAGCTTGTGTTGTCAGTCTATTGGCCCGTAAAGGACAAACAAAAGGAGCTTTGGATTTCATAAGGAGTTTTCCCATGGAGCCCGATAAGGTGGTTTGGCGTTGTCTTTTGTCAAGCTGCAAATCTCACAAAGACATGGCTTTGGGGAAATATGCTGCTGAGAAAATTTTGAGCATCGATCCAGATGATACCTCAGCCCATGTCATGCTATCAAATATTTATGCAAAGGCAAAGATGTGGAATGAAACAGCTCAAATCAGGAAGCTAATGAAGGAAAAGTCATTGGAAAAGGACCCCGGATATAGCTGGACTGAGTTGAAGAACAAGATATATTCTTTTTCTGCAGGTCATAATGCACATTTTCAGGGATATAGTGTACATGAAGTTTTGGGTGGATTGACAGCCCAGTTGTTTGATGCGGGATATGTACCTGATACCAATTTGTCATTGAATTATGCGGAATAAGTGAACTGGAATAATGGACTAAGTATTTGGCGATAAAACCTTCGACTTTTGGCTGGATTGTCCGCCAATCCATCCACATATGAGGAGGAAAGGACTCTACCTTGGGAGAAAGCATTAACAAGTTAGAAGTGATGCTGATTTGTATGAAGGTAGTCACTAAATCCAAGGCTACATCATGTTATGAAGAGTTGTAAATTTAGTGAGACCACCAAATGATTGAGAAGCTGGTGATCTGAAGGATTCATTAAAATGTTAGTCTGCCGAGATATCCAATTCTTGGACCAGCTCTTGTTAACTATTTTAAAGACAGTTGCTGGCATAATTGATATGAACTTGCTTCCTTCTTAGACTTGACTCTGTACAATCTCCCTCAAGAACTCTCATCCTCGGGCTCTGGAGAAGTATAAGGTCCTTTCACAACTTCTTCTTCTTTCAGTATGAGTGAACTTATCTCGTTCAAGGGATTAGTTTGCCCTATTTGACCTGGACTTGAATCTTGGATTGTCCAATCACTCCTCTCTGGAGCTGATTTGCTGATATCTTAGCTCCGATTGTCTTCAGCATGGGAAATCACCAGGAATATGAAGAACTAGGATTAAATTCTCAATTGAAGAATGTCACTAGACAAATGTCGAATGCATTGGATATAGGTTGTGGTTATCGCAAAAACAAAAGTGAGCTGCGGCAAGGGAAGTTCAGTAAGATCATTTGCAGCCCCAATCATATTGAGATCAAGAATAGTTTCTCTTACGGCTGAATGTGATTTAACTGCATTTTTCTGATGGGAAAAATGGCTGCCTGAGTGTCGGAGTTGTGAAACAGCATGGCATATGAGTTGCATGCCTGAACTTCTTGAAGATTAACCCTATTGTCCTTGAGGAAAGCTAAGAAGCTAACAAGTTCTCATCAGCTGGATTGTATTGTATTGTCCACTATATGTCGACTGAAAATGGAACGCATTTAAAGATCTGGTGCTAGGTATACATTTGAAGCGTCCTTGACTAACACTTTCGGAGCTGATGTGCAAAGTACATTAGAAACTATATTCTTCACTTGAATAAATAAATTATTTTCTTTTTGGTTTTGTGGTGAACTATTTTTCAGACGCACAAATTTTAATGGACATACTACCCACCTTCACATTGAGAAAGTGTCTTCTTCTTTTCTTTTTTTTTTGGTAATGATTTTCTATCAGAAAAACTTCTGTAAATCCCAGTAGAAAAGTGTAGAACAGTCATGTATGGATTTATTTATACATTTTATATCACACATAAAGATGCTTTTCTCTCTCTTTTTGTATATATACACAAATATTTTTGGGTTGGGTGGTATGGGGTTGGGGCGAGTGTGTGCTGTTGTTATTAGAGACGAAATACTGCTATGGAGGGCTTGCATCAAGAAGGCACAAAACCCATAAGCAACAATAATATCGTACAGAGCCTGCTATATGGGTAGGTACGGGCGGAGACAGACCCAGAAACTCATGTAAAGGGGCAATACTGAATTTTTTGAATAATTTTAGGGGGGGGAGGTAATATTTCATAAGTATACATATCAAAATGACAAAAATAGGGGCAGTAATTGTGAAAAATAAAAATTTCAGGGGGGCAATTTGGGTCCATCTCTGGGCAGAGGGTGAGCCAGACATACCATGTCGTTACTCGCTAGTATCATCGGCCAATAAAGATATAACAATTTTGAGCAGTTTTTTTCTTAGTATTGGGACTCATTTCTCTGTACGGTGAATCTTCATTGATTGGGCATACCAATAACATGAAATGTCTGGCTCACCCAAGGATGGATTTGGCCCTAGCTGAATAGAGATATGCGGGGTAGGGCACAAAACAATGGCTAGGAAGTTTTCTGGGGCAGGCAAGGGATTTAAACAGTTAGTCTCTAAGATGAAAAGTGAGTCTTGTCATTAGCTATTAGGCTACCCTAACATGCTTGGAGTTTCAGGAAAAAAATGCAACAATTATAATTCTTAATGACATGCTAAAAGATTGCTTCTTAGATTAAAATGTCACATTTTTTTCTTAGATTACTTGTATAACTTCCTCTGCTTCAGTTCGACACAACAGACTCAACAAAATCTCATGCAATTGCTAAAATAAGATAGCACCTAATGAAACAAGGTGTAATAATAGTGTTTATTCATTGAAATATGTTTTAGAAGTATGCACACAATAGAGTTCATAAACACCATGATCATCATGCTAGAAAGATCCAAAAAAAAATAAATAAATAAATAAAAAAGAAGTTAAAAACTGTGTCCAGCTGCTCAGAGAAGCACACCACAGGTCACCTATCATCATCGTCAGCTCTCCGGAGAAACAATTCTTCTCTCCAGCTGCACCACAAAACATCCAGGAAAAGGAATATAGTTAGAACAAGTGGGTGTGTCGGTACCATTGAAATATCAACAGCACAATAACAAGGATTAAAAAAAAAAGTCAATTGAAACTGACTAGTTTGAACAATTCTTTAGAAGTTCATGAACTGAAGTTATACAATAATATTAATAAAATGGACAGAACAAAACCCTGACTAACGTTTACATTCTATGATTTATATCTACTAAAGTACAATAAATTTTAACAAATGATCAGTTATGTGGGTCTCAAAAAGTCATGGTGTAGTCTCACGGAGTTCCCGTGGAGAAATGCCTTTTAAGCTAGGTAAAAACTTAAATAAAAAAGAAAAAGCTCAAGTTTGTGTTCAGTAACTCTTACCAAAAAAAATAAAAAAATAAAAAATAAATAAATTTAAAAAAAAGAGTAGCCTAGTGCATGATGCCCCTGCCATTGTGTGGTCTGGAAAGGGTCCGAGTAATGCAAAATAATTTGCTTTCACCAGTTTTAAACAAAAATACATATTATGTATTATTGAAATTGGATGAAAGATGAAAGTTAACATCCAAGCTGTAATGACACCGAAAAACAGAGTCAAATTGAAGTCCCCAAATTTTGCAGTCTAGTAGTAGCAGCACACTTGTGTCAATAATTGAATCTCAACAACAATGCCATACGGCCACATGAATGAAGGGAAACGTAACCACAAACTAAGTGACCTTTCCACTTAACAACCAGAACAAAATTGATAAACAAGGACCACAAGAGAGGAAAATTATCCATCAAATAAAAGAAAGCATATAAGTCTTCTCAAGATAAGCTTGAAATCTACAAGTTTTCAACACAAAATGTGACCACCAATTAAGGGATCATTTTACTTCTTTTCCCCTGCTCATAAGATAGTAGAAATTGTCTTGCAAACCTTTCAAACAAAGCTCAAATCAAACACCTCATGTGACATGATGAGTCCCACACCACATGCGGCTGAACCCACACACGAGAAACAAGCAACAACTTGATGTGTTGCAACCTTATCTTCAACATCTGATTTAATATTCACATATTTCTATAAATAATAGGGAAAAATATAGTAATTCAAAAGCATAACACACGGTGATGAAATACTTTTCAAGCTTCATCTTGTGCCAAAATTTGATCATCAATCCTCTCTAAAATCGGGTAAATGAATGATCAAGAAAAATCAAGATTCAGAGCATATATATAAAGAATATTCTCCCTAAACATTTGGACATTTTTACTTGTCTAAATCACTAATTTTTATTATCAATATTATTTTTTATGACTGCATAACCGATCAGCAAAGCATGAGTGGATGAGCAATGACATGGTGACATGAGAAGAAGAAATGCAGGGTGTTACAATGCACAATTACAAAAGTACGTCCAACCTAAGGTTTGGACTGAATTTTTGTGCAAACTAATAAAAGATCACACTGTCCATTGACATGACTTAACAGTAAAAGTAGATACACTATTCTAAGGTTGTTCAGCACTATGTCAGATTTAAGGTGGGCTGACCAAAGGTGGGTCTCATCTCTTTGCATGCAAACCACAAAATACCCCATGAAACTTTTATAGTTAATAGTAGTCCCATGCATGTTAGTACCTCTGACATCTAGGCCCCATCCCATGGCCAAGGCATGTACAGGCACCTTGCAACCATCCCATGGCCAAGGCATGACAGGCACCTTGCAATCATCCCAAGGCCAAGGACAAGTGCATCTCCTTGTGGATGTATGTCTCAACAACATGGGTTGCATGACATGCACAACTGCCCCAAAAGAAGGGGCAGCTTGCCCAGCAACTTGAGGCAAGCAGCTTGACACTTTTGCTAGCATCCTTGCAATTGTGGCCTGTTCTGCCCAGTAACACCCATATTAGTGCAGTGGCATTTTCATTTTTACGCAGATAGGTTGCAGTTTCGTAAATTCCGATAATTACAGATTTCCTGCAGGAAGATGTATTTTGAATGCTTTGTTGACGAAAGGTACCTCTCTACCCATGGGCACAATGCCATGCCTTGGGGAGTGTCATTGCCATTTGTTGGACATCACAAGGACCATTACAAGGGCAATATGCAAGGATTGGTTTGATGATACGAAGACCATTTATGGCAAATGGTGGCAGCACAGGGTGCGCAGGACGGCATTTTATGGTGCTTAGTGGCATGTGGCTACGAGGCAACGCAGGGTTAGGGGCCTTTGCATGTTCGTCCCCATGAAGTTCTTCACTCTAATCAGAATGATTTGGTGCAATACAAGTGACTGATACTGGTGATGAGAGGTGATATTGGGTCAAGCCAACCCCTCCACACCTCTACAAGAAAAACCATGGAGTGCATGGCATGGACCAAATGATCCAAGCATGTCAAATAGACGAAGCACTCATGGGATGTTAGCAAAATGATGGACTAGCATGGCAATTGGTAAGGCCTGAAAGCTCACCAGTGTGACGTGTGTTGCTCTGGTCTTAGACAAGGCAGTTTCTAGCAGTTACTAAACTTATCAGAGATGGTAGCGGGGCAAACCATCCATACGAAGGCAAGGGAATTGTTGTCTATGTGGGTGATGTCTGTGCAAAAAAAGGCATCATAGTTACTGGTAACTGCTTATAGACTGATGGCATTTGAGGGGTTAACCAGATTAGCCCTACCAAGGCTACTATCAAGGAAGTTGTAGGTGTCAACTGTTATTAATACATTCCATATATGCAAGATAGTGTATCTGCAATTGTCATACTTGTTCAAAGTTGCAGTACTGATTACTAATATGGGGATCCCCCAGTATGACTCAGACCTCAGTCACTCATCCACATATTTAATGGAGAACAATAATAACAATATGCTAGATATAGGCTCAAAAAGTTATTTAAGGAAATTGTGAAAGATTTAATTAAAAAAAAAAAAAAAAACGCTATGTACACATCCCAGTTGTCTAGGTAACAAGCAAGAGTTCACTGCTGTATTGGCATTTCCTGGTGTTGCGCAGGCATCCGATTCCAAGGTCATGTTTTCTTATATCCTTAATGCTGGAATAGAAGGTAGGCCACTTGGTGTCCATCTATTTTGTGTATTCTTTGTTGGTTTGTTTACATTCACATCTAATACCTTACTCTTCCTCATCACACTTTAGGTAAGCCACAGTAAACTATTATGTACCAGAAGAAATCAAGGAAAATGCATATAAGTAGTCCCGATCCCATGCAAATGCATAGGAAAAACTGTTTAAATAATAATAATAATAATAAAACTAACATCTGCTTTACCAGGTCAACAAATTTGCTTGAAAAATATTAAAACATCTGCTATACCTGGACAATGGTTTCCCACTTGCTTCGCAAACTAAAGTATTCATGTTTGATATCATTCAAAGCCAGGAGGCACCTACAGAGAGAAAATTTTAAAATAAAACGAAGGAAAAGGTTTCCAAATTAACTTCCCAGAACACAAATAAAATATGTAATAATTTATTTTTTTTAATGCAGTTTACTATATCATACTTCAACGATATTGAAATAATGCTACAAAAAACACAAAAACAAACTAATCATCTTGAAATTAGGATATGCTGCAATATAAGCATTGTGAAATAAAACTGAAAATTAAGCATTGAAACTTTCAGCACCGAATTAGTAGTTCTGAGTACTTTAAGCAGCTGAATCTGTAGAGTTGGATTAAAGTTTAAAACTGTTCACTTATTAGCATTTAGTGGTAAGTCAAGTCGATCTTGTTAGACTATTACTACGTCCATAAACTTAAGCCTTTAAGGAATGGGCCCATCAAATGCATATCAAGCTCTCTAACACCCTACCTCACATGCGACTTTGTCTCACACATGGAGAGGCAAACAAATAGAACAAAATGAAGTGCAAACTTGCACAACATACCAGGAAAACAAATGCAAAAGTGAAGGCTTGAACCCAAAGACCTCCTAGAACCAAAGGTTATACCAGGTTAGACTACCACTTGCCTCAAAAGCTTAACCTTTTAAGAAATGGACCCAACAACGTATACCAAACTCCCTAACATCTCTGACTTAAGATTACTTTTCGAAAAAAAAATCTCTGACTTAAGAGTCAGACACTTGCATAAGTGGAATTTTCTTTCAATTGGTAACTAATTATGCATTACTAAGCACACTTGATAGAATGAGCACTAAAACTTTTCATTTTAGTTGAATTGGGACTCCCCCACACCCCAACCCCCACCCCCACCCCTCTTTCCCACCAATCCTTAACCTTTCATCCAATAAATGATGTGGCATTGCCCTGGTTTTCCGATGTAGATACTCTGGAATGTCATTGTATTTTGGAATGTGCCTGTACTAAAGTTAAGTAGTTAATAGAGATTTACAACTTCTACCAAATATTTGATACAAAGTTACAAACTACTATATTAAAGAATAAAATAAAAAATAAAAAGGAATGCTAACAAAAAATATATGGTTGTTTGAAGAAAAAGTTCATTACCCATCTTTAGATTTGTTGTCCACAGCCTGACGTAGGTTAGAACATGCATTTTTCATCTGAGAAGCACCAATGCTGGAAAATTTAATTGAAAAAAATTACAATAATGACTAGTCAAAGGTAAAGGCAAATGAACATCCTGTAGCATGCATATCCGACATGCAAAAATTAAATAGTTTCATTCAACACATCCTGCTTTATTTCCATATACATAAAACAAATAAAAAAAAAAAATAGGCAGCCAAATTGTATATATGATCTACATATAACCACCTTCCAGGAAAGTTTAAGGTAGGAATCAACAGCCGGTCAATACATTTAGATTAAGTGTGCAGGAAACATATGATCTGCCTTTTATTGTCCTGGTTTCATCATGAATTTCTATTTGGGGGGAGAAAATTGAAGTGACTTGGATCCAAGCTGAGGTAATATATTACATATATATATATATATATATATATAGTCTTGAAGTATATCATAACTAGCCATCATGTTAAAGTAACGGAGTTATGGATCTGAAATGAATGCTCCATTAGAAAATCAAACTATTATATTACCTTGTAGCACTTCCTCTAAGTTTGATGCAGTACTCATACATGTCATTGTAGTCCACAACAGATTGATCCCTGAAAACAAATTAAGAACAAACCAAACTATTACAAAACCAACACTAGGCCCAACAACATTGGGAAAAACCAATCATAGATAAGATATTGAAACATACAGAGCCGCGGTGATATCTCTTAGGACAGTACGAACATCTGTCAGGAACGTGGGAATCAACTCTACAAAAAAGAATGGACCACTTATCTCCTTCAGAGAATGACAAAGGCGGAATTTTTCATCCACAAAGCCCTACAAGGACAACATAAATGAATAAAAATCAATAATAAAAAACAGAATGTATCAATTTCTCTCTATTCACAGAAAACCATATATGTTCAATACACCCAAATCGAAATTCTTAAATTTGATTTGTTTTTTAATGCATTGTCCAACAATGTTGAATTGAACTATATATCAAAGTATTCAAGACAATAGTAACTGGGGTATCTTGTTCTTCAAATAAGACTATAAAAATTACGAGCCAGAACTATCTTCAGTTCATAATTCAACAAACAAAAGCAAGAAAGATTTTTTTTTTAAAAAAAAAAAAAAAAACAGAATTCTCAAACTCCATCTACTTATGATGCATTCACGAGATTGATCAATTTAATTGAAAGGAGATGATTCAATCACATATATAGGGAGAGAGATAAAACACATAGATAGAAAAAGAACTATGTGTGTGCGTTTATGTGTATATATATAAAAATAGATAGATATACAGAGAGAGAGAGAGTGTGTTACTTCTTGTTCCAGGGCTTTCATAAGTTGGAGGAGCTGCTGGTTGAGAGCTTCTTTATCCATTTATCAATAAACCCAGCGAAAGGTGTTCAATTGCAGAGAGAGAGAGAGAGTGTGTGCGCGCGCGCACATACATCAACACACATGTATGAGTGTGTGTGTGTCTGTATGTGTGTGTGTGTATATATATATATATATAAAGGCGGTTTGGGCAAAATTGAATGCAATTTACAGTTATGAGAGAAGACAAAAATGAGAGAGAGATAGAAAGCCATTCTTCGCAACGGTCCTCTCTGTGTTTGCAAAGTGTTTCATTATTCCCTCAAAAACTTGCTCCCCACTGGCTCTGCGCTCGCGTCACCTTGGGGTTCACGAAATAAGTGTAATACTTTTCTAAAAATTATGACATCATCATCTTAAATTTAATCAAACATTTTTTTTTTTTTTTGGTTTTCTTTGTTTTTGTGGAACGGAATCTTAATTGAACCTTTTTAGTAAAAAGGATTTGTCCTTTTTATAGTTTAGATGGATTCACAGTATTACAATTTTTTTTTTCTTTTACTTTTCAGCTCTTTTTTATTGCTTCTTTTTATCTTTTTTCATTAGAAAATAGTCAAAAGACTCTTTAGTTTTAAGTTTTTAGCAAGAAAATATGGAGAATTTGCCTTCAAAAAAAAAAAAAAAAAAGAATCACTAAAAAAATGACTCAATGTGATTATCATTAGGAGTTGAAATAAATTTAACATTTATTACCGGTGTCAAATTTGATTTAGTAATTAAAAATTATTACACTTTAGGGTTCAAAATTATTTGATGCGGAGGGCATTCCTCCTTCTACGCCACAAACTAAAATTCTTACAAAAAATGATTAAACTTTCATGTGAATAGCATAATTTCATGATAACAAATGGCTAGTTTAGTAATATACAATTTATTGCTTATAAAAACACATTTGAAGAATAAACGTTTGATAATATCCATTTTGTTCATAAATTATCTAAACACATATAAACAAAAAAGTGTAACATTACCCAGTAAATCTGTTTCACTTTATTAAAAGTAAATAACTTTTTTTTTTATTTTTATTTTTTTATCATTGGCAAGAACTTTTTATTTTATTTTTATTTTTTTATCATTGACAAGAAATTCATACACCCACTTTGCTTCAAGACCCAAATGATCACCATCCACCTTGAGAGATTAAGAAAATACCAGTAAAAAAATAAACTTAACATTAGATACTTAAAAAAATAAAAATAAAAATTTCCACACAATACTACTTATTCTACTGGAAAGTGATCAATCTGATTGTTGTAAATCGTGTCTTTGGTAGAATTTTTTTTTTTTTTTTCAGGCCTTTGGTAGTTTTACTATCAACTTCTTGTGTAATAATTAGGATTAAAAAAAAATATAATGACTTATTTTATAAATTAGATTGAGACTCGTTAAAAATTGTCTTAAGTAAACGAGTTAAGCTCAAGCGCCCAACAATGGATTTATTGATTAAACTAACTTTAACATACAATCGAAAAATATAAATAAATAAATAAATAAAAATATAAAATAAAAATGTAAACCATATTACATTAGGGTCAAGCATAAAAAAACACTCCTAAAGCATGCTCACAATGCATATCACACTCCTCACATGTAAAAAAAACACTCCTAAAATTTTAATTTGGTACAAATAGGTCCCCCTGACAAATTTAAACTCTAAATTGACTAAAATACCCTTACTGAACTATTTTATAAAAAATATAAAAATAAATAATTTTATAAAATGATCGAAAATGACAAATGCCCATCTCTGGGAAAAAAAGCACATTTGACAGCTGAAAGTAGTTGATTCTTAAAAGTATACTTTGTGTGGAAACCCCATATTTACATGAATACAGTAAGAAATTTAAGAATCAACTACTTTCTACTAAGTTATGTCCAAAGACACAGACACAGTTCATACAATGTAGGTCTGAATAAGTTATGTTCGCGATTTTTGGTTTATTCGTCTTAATCTATGAAGCACGGATACGGACACGGGACACGGGTATGACACGATACGGATATGGCGACACAGCAAATTTCAAAAACACAGGACACGGATACGGCAGGGATACGGCTATAAAATAATATATATATATATATATATTCAAAATCCACAATTCATCATCTAAGTATTTAAGAACCAAGTAAATAATTTATCACCCAAAAGTCATAAGTTCAATAACTAAAAATCTATAATATATGCATCTTTCATCATTAGCCACTGATCATATAAGATTCGTACAAATAATAACTGAACAGTTTACTTATCAAAAAAACAAAAAAAACTGAACAGTGATTAATTGATAACAGTGAGCCCAAAAAAGAAAAGGAACTCTATAATCCTCTTCATTGAGTTGGATCTTCTAGAAATTCATCGTCATTTCCATCTCCCTCATCGGTAAATATCATGGCCTCCAAGTCCGGTTCATCAAGTGAAAGATTTGCAATCTCAAGTATTCCACTACCTTCTAAGGAATCAAATGCATCTCCCCCAACATCCCACATCTTAGTTTCACCCACATTATATTGTGGAGTTCTCCTTGATAGAAGACGAAGGTTGGAATGTACAAATACCAAATCTTCGACTCTTTGTGGTGCTATCTTGTTCCTCTTCAAAGATTGGATAAAAGAATATGTACTCCAATTCCTCTCATAACATGAGGAGGAACAAGGATGTCCAAGTACCTTCAAAGCCAAAGATTGGATGAGGGGTGTTGAAGCTCCATAAGAAACCCACCAAATTGCTGGCTCCATAAGTCCTCTATCATTCAAGGAATCAACCGATCCAAACTCTCTAAAACCCGCCGAAAAACAAGCATACTCTTCTTTAACCTTCCTTCTCTCCACATCATTAGTAAAGTACCTTTGGAAGCATTTTTCTCTTAAACTTGAAATCTCTTGATCTCTATGTAGAGGAACATGATTGGGAGCCTCTTGAAGCCATTGTGTACTATAAAACCTAGAAGTGACAAAATGATAGCTAAAAGTTAATTTGACAAAAATTCAAATTAGAACCTAAAAAATGTATAAAATATTAAAAATTACCTTGGATTCAAGGAATGTGCTAAGCAATGAAGGGGTGTGTTGCTCTTACTCCATCTAGCACTTAATATTTCGCGCACCACCAAAAAGAATGGAGACTCCTCATGCTCTTGCTTTCTTTCCTGATGATAAATAGCGGCCTTCACTTTAGCTATCATGGAGTCCCACATCTCATACACCAAGTGAAGACAAGGAACATCCGTATCGGCCCTCCTAAGCATATCATAGATTGGCTCAGTAAAGTTAATTATGTAATCAATATCTCGCCACCAATCATCTATTTTTGTCTTGACAGTTAAGGCCCTTTGAACATTATCTTCCCTATAAGATGTCCAAAAATCACTCATCACCATGTCTTGGAGACCACGTTTTATTTGCTTAAATCTTCTTAGCATCACAATCATTGAAGCAAAACATGTATCCGCAATAGAAAGCATGGTTAATTACACATTTTCATGAAACATTGCCAATCTCATGGAATGATTCATTATAAAATTTTTAATAAACATACAATCATCGATAATAGTTGTAATCCAATGGCATTCTAGAAAAACAACTTCATTGGCATCGGTATTTTTGGCCGCACAAATATTTTTCAAAGCAAGGTTGAGGGTATGAACCACACAAGGAGTCCAAAATACTTTTGGAAATTGGACTTCAACAAACAATCCTGCACTCCTACAAACAGGAGCATTATCGGTAATAACTTGGACCACATTATCGGGTCCAACCTCTTGAATGGTCTCCTTGATCAACTCCGAGATGAAAAATTTATCTTTGAATTCACCTTCACAATTTACCGCTTTCAAGAACATAGGACCATTTACACTCATAGCCATAAAATTGATGATTGGCCTCCTTTGTGGATTCGTCCATCCATCACAAATAATAGTAACACCATTTTCCTTCCAAGAAGCTTTAATTGGAATCATCAACCTCTCTATGTTTGCTCTCTCATTTTGAAGAAGAGTAGTCCTCAACATGTTGTAACCGGGAGGAATATAGCCACTAATACCATTATTAGAGGCATAAGTGTAAGAGGCAACATAGTGTGGGTTCCTTGCAAGGTGAAAAGGCAAACCGGCCGAGTAAAACATTCTTGCAATTTCACTATGCAATTCATCACGAGCTCCAAGATTAAATGCTTTTTCAATCGCCGAACTAGTTTTCCTCTTTCTTGGTTCAAAAACATCAAGCATAAATGGCCCACCTCCCGTGCTTACAGTTGCACTTGATGAAGATCCAGCTTTGCTTGACTTTGTGGAAGGTGGCAAAGGAACCTGTTTTGGCATCTTTCTCTTAATTCTTATTTCAGCTTGATTACCTAACCTTTGCATTTCTGCTATATGATCATTAGTCACTTTTTTACATGCTTGAATGCCATGTCCCGAGATTTTTAGCAAATGCGCTTTCACCCTATAGTATGATCCCTTAAAATTCCCTTGACAATAATTGCATTGAAATTTTATATTTCCCCCTCCTCCCCCAACCTTATCAAACTTTTTAACATATTTCCAAAGAGGGGTGTTATCATCAGGTTCAACCCCACTGCTAGAACCTTGCACATTCATTTTCCTAATAACAAACAGTTATATATAAATGCAAAATTACAAATAAAACTAAAACAAATAACAAGACTAATTTTAATAATTTTTTTTCATCATTCTTATAAAAATTTCATAATAATTTTTTTTCCCCAGTGCTAATAGTGGCAAATTCCTTCCAATTCTCTAAGACTAATTCAACTGTTAGTAATGGCTTAAAGAGGCAAGCTACACTAGGTAAAACGTTTTAAATGCAATTAAAGTGTCATCTTACCAAATACGGGCAAGTAATATTTGAATCATGTTGTGTCAGGAGATGGATAACAAGATAATTTTAAGGCTTTCATTATGATTTCTCAGGGCTCCAAAAGGAAGAGAAAGTGAGGAAAAAAAGTCAGTTCCAAATAATTCTGTATCGTTGAATAATAAGCTTTTTTATTTATTTATTTTTTTTTCCCGGTAAATTGCTTATCTAGTTCTCTTTCAGTTTCACGAAGTCTTGTACTGTTGTACAACTTGTACAAAAAAAAAAAAAAAAAAAAAATCTTTTTCATGTACGTTACAGAGGTCTAATTGAAGAAGATGAGAGAGGAAGTGAGAGAAAAGAAACTTACTTGGTGGATTCGCCATAGTAGACACCGGAGATACAAAAAATCTAGTGGAGAGTTGCTGTCCCTGAGCTCGTAGTCGCATCTGAGGAGAGGAATCGCCTTGTGAAGGAACGGAGGATTTGGGGATTTTGGGTCTAGGGCACAGAAGACAGAACCGACGACACTTAGAATTTTACTGTGTAAGTGTGTAGTCTTTAGTATATATTATATAATTGTTTTATATTTTTTTCAAAATTTTACTTTTAACTTCTAAAATTAGTAAATTACATTAGGTACCCATTTATCTTTAAAAAAATTACAAAATAAACCCCGTCGTGTCCACCGCCGTGTCCCCCGCGTGTCCGAACCGTGTCTAATAAAAAATTATTTCTGGACACTCCACAGAAGTGTCGGACACGTGTTTGACCTTCGGACACGCGTGTCGGTGTTTGAAAAGTGCCCGACACTGGTACGTGACCCCTGAGAAGAGTGTCCGTGCTTCATAGGTCTTAATGCATGCAACAGTAAGCTGCAAGAGGCCAATTGTCATGCCTTTGGGCTTGCTTGTTCGACTGGAGCTGTATTTAGCTTCTTGGTCTGGTTTTCTTTCTTTTGGGCCTGGTTCACACTTTGTACATATTTTTCCATTTATACAATTCTCTAAAAACACCGTGTTATTATTATCCTCTATATGTTAAATCTCGATAATTTTTTTTTTTTTTCCTATACATACATACTTTCATTAATTATTTTTAAAATTAAATTATCGATTTAACATTTTTGTCATTTAGATATGTCAGTTTTTTTTTAAATGAAGGGTTACTTACCTAAATCAATTTTTAGCTTTCTATTTAACCCATAATATCATTTTTTAATACACAATTTTGTTTATTATTTATTTGCCTTCTCTTCATACTAGAACTCTAAATATATAATTAATAAAATGCATTGCGTGTCAACTTTTACCGTGCTCGTATCTATAATATAATTGTTTTATTTCTACATTTTTCTAAATCTTTTATTAATGTAGAAATGCTTAATTTTGAGTTCAATAAATTAACAGTTAATTTTTTATACGATTAGTCATATTGATTATTAGAATTCTCTTTATAACTCGAAAATACATTAATTAACTAACATATAATTTTTATTTATTTATTTATTTTTAAAAAAAGAAAATTCAAACTCTCAAAAAATCCTAATGCTCTTTAAGTCCAAAAACCACGTTATTGAAATTTAATTTTTTAGAAACAATAAAATTTGATATTTATTGCAATTAAGGACGAGGTATCAAAAGGTGTCTTTTATGTAGGTCCATATAATACTATTGTGTCATTATTTTCAGTAGTATGTTAAGATATACTGTCACGTTACTAATGTATAAAACAATTGTGTATTTTACCCGATCTGCATATTTTCTTTCTCCTCCCTTTTTCTAATTCAATTAACTAATCAACCCTATATTAGATAGGTTTGTAAAAATTATGTGGGTCCAACATGACACTGCTTGGTTGTTATTAGGCGATATATTTTTACATAAAAGGTATAAAATAATCGTTGGAGTTAAAAATAAATAATCCAAATTTTTTGTGTAAATATATTATGACACGTCAGATTTACACAAAAATATATATATATACATAACGATTGAAGATGCTTTTAATTTTTATAGAATCCTGTTACGCCTTTAAAGTCACAATATTGATTAGAAATAAAAATTACTACTACGTGAATCTGACTAATCACAATTCACACCTAAACAAATAAATTACTGCGTATAATTTTGTGGTCATTTATTATTTTGAACAATAATAAAAAATTTTTGTTTTCTTTATTGACAAAAAAATGTGCATACACCAATTACAAACTTCACTTTGCTCCTTTGAAAACTCAATTCCTTCTCAAGTTGTCATCCACTTTATGGCCACAGAGCTCCTCATGACAACGGCATAAGCTCTTTTAGTAATAAATTAGCTTTTTTACACATAAGCTCTTACATCAATTACTTCCTCAAACTCTGCTTCTACTTCTAAAAAAGGTATATAAGGTGATTTTGTGGCTCCAAAATCACACACATGACACGTGTATATATAGGACTATAATAGTTACTGTAATTAAAATAAAATATTGAATATAATGATGTATTCATAGTGTAATTAATTAATCGGATGTACTTGTAAGATATTTTCTTATATTTGTGACTCACATGATTTGGACGCGTAATTTACTTCTATTATTTGGTGGTTAAATAAAACAGATATCAGATTAATATTATATTATTTGGTAAGTTATAAATTACCTTTATGATAATTAATTATTGGGGAAATATTTTCCTATTTATTCCTTACTTTGATGGAAAGTAGAATTAATGTTACTAAAAAGGAAAACCGGTCATCTCTCTACCTTTATAAAAGTGCATATATCCCATCAATTATGTACGCTAATAAAATAACACGTATAATGTTTATATGTGCAAAAAGTCAAGAGAGAGCATGTTGTTCGTTTCGCAGAAAGGATCTCGACGTTTGCTTTGATTTCTTCGAGTTTTACAATTACAGATCGAAGTATTTATATCTAACTATTTATTTATACATTATAGATATGTGAAAATTATGAAATTCTAAGATATGGGATTCATGTAAATTTGTGATTAATGGTTTTCACGAATTATTAAAGTTTACATGTGGTATCAGAGTTTATGGTTTAGGAACTCGTTATTTTCCACCAAAGTTTGTATAAATAATATATATATAAATTAAAATTAAAATTAAATAATTAAATTTGTTTTGGAATCGTGGGTGCATAATGGATTAGTATGATGGATCAGTTGATCAATTTATTTCGGTTTGCATGATCAATTTTTGAGCTTGTAAATTGATTTCCATAAATTGATTTCTTATCCTTATTGAATTGTCTGATAGTTGAAGTATATGTATGAGTTTGTTTTTTTTATTCCGTGCATGACTAGAATAGCAATTGGAATTGAAATAGTTGGTTTTGCTTTTTGCGTAAATCGAGATGATGAATTTTAATGCTATCTACTGGTTTTTGTACAAACTTATATATATACTTGTTATCATATATCATTAATTACATATATGATAAATATATGATAAATCAATGGAGAATGATTTATTTTATTGTAGAAAATTAAATTTCTGGAATAATGTATGAGTTTAAAAATTTAATTTAATTTTGTTAGACATACAAATAAATTATTGTTTTGTATCCAAACATACATACATATTGGAGAATCAATTTTAAATTGATTCAATTATGATTTTCAAGTCCGAAAATAAAAATAACATATTTTATTATGTATATAAAGTAAAAGGATATTTTTATTGAATTTTTGAACTATTAAGTTACTGGGATCGAATCTACCTAAATTTGAATCGATCAGTATGAGTATATGTGTATAATACTAAATGGGTAAATTAATGATTAATTAGTTACTAGCTAATTTAATATTCATATTATGTGAGGGTTAGTAACTACCAAAATGGCCTAACCGTAATGGTCAATGAATATTAATTTTAGTAGTAATGATGAATTAATCTCTGTCTAATTTAATATTTATATTATGTGAAGATTGGTAGCTACCAAAGTAGCTCAATCATAATGATTGATGAATCTTAATTTTTGGAGTAGACATAATTAATCACAAATTAGTTACTATCTAATTTAATATTCATATTATGTAAAGGTTAATAGCTACCAAAGTGGCCTAACCATAATGATTGATGAATATTAATTTTAGTAGTAAACATATTTGCAATATTTCATGAATTATGACGCTTATAATTTTTTGTGATATGGATGAATATTGGGTTTATTTGACCATGAGAAATAATTCTCCAAAGGGAATTGATTTTCAAGTGATTAAATAAAAATTAAAGGGTTATATATATTTTTTAATTTGGTAGATATAAGATATCCAAATGTAACTTATCTGTTTAATTAAATAATGCACCATCAATAAAGGTATACATATAAATACATGTAAGCATCATTATTAATATTTTATAGTTACCACCTAAAGGGATATTATATTTATACATTGTATTTATATTCTAAGTTATATATACGTGTTGTTAACGCAAAGCATTATTATTGTGAGTATTTTATCTTATTATGTTTGTTTTATTACATGCCTTAATACACATGTTACATCTGTTCTAGATCTCAAAAGGACTAACTTCTCATAATGGGATGAGTAAGTTAAGTTCAAGATTTAGGTGTGCTAAATCAAGATTTAGTATTTTAAATTGAGAAACCTACTGTTATTACTGATAAAAACAATGAGGAAGAAAAGATTCTCCATAAAACTTGGGAGAGATTGAACAGATTAAACATTATAATTATACAAATAATTGTTCCTCATAGTGATAGTGCTAAGGAATATTTGATTATAAGAATGTTTTCGTATTGTAGATAAATATCTAAATGAAAATTATTAATTGATATAACTACTATGCATTTTTTGTTGGTACTCGTACAATGTATGAATGTATTTTTAGATGACTAATGTTGCTGCAAAATTGAGAACCTTATGGATGATTATAAATGAGAATTTTTTTTTTCAATTTATTCTCAATTTTTTGTCTATTCAGTATGGGTCATTTCGAATTAACACTATTAAGACAAGTGGAAAGTGATTTAATTGACCATTATGTTAATTTAGGAGGAGACAAGGCTTAAGCAGCAATGTAATCATTATGGTCATTTGATTACTCAAGAAGCTATAAATAAATTTTGGGAATAAGCCTGAAAATGCATTAAGTGAGTAACACTCAAAATTAAAAGATTTAGGTCAATCTACTAAAAGAAAGTAATGTAATGTAATAATGAAAAAGTGTCATTAATGAACATTTTTAGAAAGATTACATGAAATATAAAGAATAATTCGAAAAAGAATGGTAAGCTTTTTGCTTTTGTATATTTCGAATTACTTATTGAAATTCTTTCTAATACATGATAGGTATGTTGACTTAAGTACTAATGTTTATATTTCTAATAGATGCAAGAATTTTTTATGGCCTAAACTACAAATTCAAATAAGAATTTCTTATTTATGATAATTGGGAAAAAGTTTTGTTAAAACCATTGTGACATTATGTTTAATGTTAGACAGTGGATTTTTTTTAAAGTTATTTTAAACTTTTTATGTTTATTCAATTTCGCATAATTT